GTTTTGATTGATGTTGCCGTTGGATTATCTACAATTTGAGACATTTCTGATACGGATATGCGAAGCTCTCTCGTAACAATAAGGAAGTCATTTGGTGCATGAGTGATCGATGCATTTCAGATCTTGGTGTGATTAGCCATAGTCATCTTGGAGCAATTGAATTATCAATGTTTGGATCAGAGGTTTGAGCTGGTCCCTACTGCAAGACGTTGTTCAACGCGCACCCCAGCGAGCCCAGGTCTCAAAGCTGAGACATGCCACCAAGGGTGAAAGGATGACACAATTGCTCTTTTTCTTTTTGCTGGCAAACATTTGATGTGAGATGAGGGGCTGGGGAAACTAGTGCGCGTTGTTAATGAATCGTCGGTGGTGGGAACCAGGTTTCGATGACTGTCAATCGAGTTGTTTTGTGATGTCGAGGAAAGTCGCTCCTCTAAGGAGAGCACCTAAGCCTTTGAGGTATTGGGTGTCTAGTAACAGTTCATTTCTTAGACCATGATCTTTCGAGACGTTCTTACCCCTAGAGCTTTCTGCTGAGCCTTTCTTGCCAGCTATCTCTAATGAATGGATCAATGGATGGAAGTATGAAAAAAGTTAAATTGAATTTCGTGAGAGATGAACAGCGACGTAATGCTAATTGAAGGAAAGAGTGGTGGAGGTAAAATAACAAAGATTGTATTAGTAGACGGTCTTATGGAACTTTTTTCTTTAATCAAAAAACACGGCAAAAATTGAACACCTCCTTCAACTTGAAAAGACTTTCGTGTAATTTGTTATTAATTGAAGTTTAAAGAAAAGATTCGTGATGATGTCCGCTTTAATGTCTTGTTTGGACAGTTGGTACCAGAAGCTGGTAGATTTGAAGTTGTCTGATAAAGTATCGAAGGTATGTAGGACTTTTTGGAATAAATTCAAGCTTTTTTGGAGAACCCTTTGGCATTGGTCTCTTGCGGTTATTGAGAAGATGTTGGAGATCTTGAAAAAGATGCTGCAGGTATCTCGGGATATTATATCTTCGCTTTGGGATATGTTGTGCTGGCTAAGGAAAACATTGTGGGCTTCTCTGTGTTCTTTGGCGAAGTTTTGCAGCCAAAATTTACACACTGTCTCGATAAGTCTGGTAGAAATTACTCTCCTGATCTTTGGCTGGATCTTATTCGGTTATCATTGTGTGAAACCTCTCGACAAATTCTCATTGGTAACTCAAACATTCGCCACGATATTGTTGCTTTGGGGAATCGTTTTGATTCGCTACCAACATTGTTACAGATACCTACATTGGAGTCTTACGGGTCTGGGGTTTTTTTTCTGTCTCCTTGTTTTCGGGAAGGCCATATTTGACCTCACAAAAGATCAAGAAGCAAAGAAAAATGAAGCTACAAAAGCAGGCCAAGATCCTTCTACTGTCATTTTATATGAAACTACTCCTGAGCAGGCTTCGGTTGCAGTAGCTTTCATTGATTTGATCTTTTGTGTAGTATCAATTGTAATGAGGAAAGGAATCAAACATTGATGTTTCGGATATCGATCATATGGCTACGATGAAAGTTTGATTAGCGTTGTCTTTAAGAAACAATTTGTAGATTAGAATAATAGATTTTTAATAAAGTTGTATAATTTATTTACCTCGAATGAGGGAAGCCATCGGGATTCAGTAGTGATGAGATGAGATGAGACGAGTAGCTTTAGCTCGCTCGCTCGCTATTCTTCTTAATATGGATTTATATAGAAAAAGAGATCTTGTTATTTTATAATTATTTTTTTTATTTTTTTTTTATATTTTTTTATTTTATTTTTTTTTATTAATTAACATCTGTTTTGGATCTCTCTAAAGGTATTTATATGTATTAAGATAAGAAACTATTTGAGCAGTGTAATCGTTGTAATTGAATTTAGCAATTTAACTTCAATGCTAGGGGCTATTTGCTTTTCTGCAAGTGCAATCCGCTTTTGTTTCCAGAAAGGAATATCTAATCCGAATTGTTGTTAAGGTAGAGCTTGGTTTCTGGATAGATAGACTTGTTATAAGCTTTGATTCTTATAGTAAAGGAGAAGAAGTGAGAGTGGGTTGTTATTTGTTTAGCCAAGTAGTAAGACTTTTGTATTGTATATTGGATTTGTGGTTTTTAGAGGTATAGTGTATTTAAGTAATTAATTGAATAATGAATTTATAAGAAATAAATAATAAACTTTGTTAAAAAGATTATTGCTTTTTAAAAGTCCTTTAATAATTAGAATAGATCTGAGTATAGAACTCGAAGTCAGTAATTAGCTGAGTAAACTTGCTAAATATATATAAGAGTTTCTTGATATATATAATTGTTTACTTGTTAGATTGTATTTTTATAAAAATAAAAGGTCAATCTGAATATTTTAGATTATTTATAATATATTTAAAGAAATAATATAATTCCTTAACATTACTATATAAACAATCCAGCTTGTTATTTTGATAACCAAATTGCTAATAATAAACAATATAGTTACTATAGCCTGTTTTCATAACTATCAATTAATATAAAACTGCTCTTGATAAAATTAATTCCTTTAACTCCTTTGTACTATATCTAGAAGACCGACAAAAAGACCATTGTCCTCCGCAAGGAGCCCGGCTGGTTCAGTGGTAGAGTGATCGGGCCACTCTCCCACTGTTCTACGACTTAAGGCTATAGCGATCTGATCCACATGGATCCACTCTATATACCGCCTCATAGGCCACCTTAGTGTGGACCTCTTGACACAGCTTTACTGAACTCCGACAATCTATCGCTAACCCTAATAGAGCTTTTCTATTATAGATCGCAAAAGCGATCGATCGAATGCTGAGGGGGAACTGATCCCCCCTCCAGCTGTTACCACTGCGCCTATGCGCCATTCCGCTATTCAGCGGAACCATTGTTCCGGCTGCTCCTCTCGAGCGGCCCAATAGCCGAACCCTCCGCTCCTCTGGAGCACCATCACACACACACCCGCTTCTTTGAAGCGGCACATCTGTATACACTGCTTCTGTCCATAAAACATGGTTCTATGATAGAAGTAATTGTACAATCAGAGTGCTCCTCTCTATAAGCAGAAGGAAGCGCTAGGAATATGGGGCCAATCAAACGGCCCTATTTGCGATCATTACATTGACTTGTTTAGAATATATAAAAGGAACTGGGTTTACCCTATGAGGTTTTACTAGCGTGTGCATCAGCGCCTTTCTGTATTTGTAACTCTAGATCTAGCCACGTCTTTCATACCCCTCGGGAGGTCCTCTACAAGACGTTAATCACTATAAATAAATAAATAAATATATCTAGAAGACCATTCCTTATAGCCAATAAAAAGAAAGGAGTTTATCTCTTCCCACTAGATAGATTCTGTATTTTATTTATTTATTTATTTATTTATATTAATTAAAATCTGTTTTGGACCTCCCTAAGAGTATTTAGATATGCTAAGATAAGGAACTATTTGAGCAGCATGATCGTTGCAACCGAATTTAGTAATTTAACTTCAATGCTAAAAGCTATTCGCTCCTTTGCAGATACAATCCGCTTTTGTTTCCAGAAGGGAATATTTGATCTGGATTGTTATTGAGATAAAGCTTGATTCCTAGGTGGATAGATTCGTTATAGACTTCGATTCTTATAGTGAAAGAAAAAAAGGAAAAATGGGTTGCTATTTGTTTAATCGAGCAATAAGGCTCTTATATTGTATATTGGATTTGTGGTTTTTAGAAATATAATTTATTCGAATAATCAATTGAATAATAAGTTTATAAGGGATAAGCAGTAAGCTTTATTAAAAAGATTATTGCTTTCTAAGGGTTATTTAGTAGTTAGAATAAATCTGAGTATAGAACTCTAAGTCGGTGATCAACTGAATGAGCTTATTAGATATGTATAAGAATTTCTTGATATATATAATCGTCTACTTGTTAGATTGCATTTCTATAAGAGCAAGGGGCTAGTCTGAATGCTTTAGATTGTTTATAATGTATTTAAAGAAGTGATATAGTTCCTTAATACTATTGTATAAATAATCCAGCTTGTTGTTTTGATAACCAAATCGTTGATGGTAAGTGGTGTAGTCGCTGTAGCCTGTTTTCATAGCTATCAGTTGATATAAGACTGCTTTTGGTAGAGTTAGTTCCTTTGGTTCCTTTGTATTGTATCTAGGAGACCACTCCTTGTAGCCAGTGGAGAGAGAGGAGTTCATCTCTTCCCACCAGATAGATTCTGCGTGTAGGCGCTTCTGACGAACGATCGTTCGAACCCAGATAGATTCTGTATATAGACACTTCTAACAAATAATTGTTCAAACCTCACTGATTGTTGATAGTTTATTAATTGTTTAATCCATAGATCTAATTGCACTTACATTTGCTAAACGATCTACTTCCTCATTGTCTTTGATCTTTATATATTCAAATGACTATTTTATCTTGATATTGAATTATTTTATTACTTTGTAATATTTATAAAAGGCCCATTATATTATAAACAATACATTTCTACATATATTCTAAATAACCGATATACTATCAATACACATTCAAATCCGATTGTTCAGGGGATCTTCAAATATAATAATTAGATATTCCAATCCGCACTATACTCCTATCGCTTCTATATCGAATATATATAAGTCGCTTCGGATTTGCTTAAATCCAAAGACTATTTGAATACTATTACAATATATTGTGTATCCGTAGTTAATACAATATTTGTAATTAATAGTTTATTCTGATTTATCAAAAAAGATTATATAATCTTTGGATAGGAATTGTCGCCATCACTCTTTGAAGGTTTGAGTTGCTTCTTCTTTGGTTAGTTCTTTCGTTGGATCCGCTCTACAGCCAATCGAGTAGTGCGGGTGGAGTAGCTTCGAGTGTTGAGTCTCTGGGATGAGAAGGCCTATTATTTTATAATAATGAACATATTTAAAACTTATAAATAATAATATATTAATAATGATAAAAATGGGTTTTAAAATATATATATCTAATAAAATAAATGAGATACATCGAAACTTCGACTGGAAAATCGGAATATATAAATTTTATGATTGTTTGTAATAGAAATCTGAAAATGTATTTTGATTATTAATAAAATAAAATGAAATTTATTTTTAGAATAATTTAATTCAATTTAATCTAATTCAAAACTTATCTTTTATTTTGACTCTAAATAGATTATAGAAAAAAAAAAGAGTATAGATTATAGATTTTAATTTTAATAGAAAAGAATATTTATATATATTGATATTCGAAATTATCTACGCTAAAATCCCCAATATCTTTCTTACTAATACTGGGAACACAGATAGCCAGAGCGGCCCACGACCGGAGTGTTGTCGCATTGTCCTCAAAAAATACCAATTCTATCGCATTCCTGAATGCGGGGGATGGACAGGTCATCGTAGTCGAGACCAAGCTCGTTAACGACGCATATAGCATTGGCAGTCCCAACTTTGGAGCCGGAGGCTTTCGAGCTACATCGATTGCACCTGTACTTGGCGAATTGATCCAAACGTATATTACTGACGCAAGCGGAAAAGTCTGGAAGCACACCTATATTCCTGGTCATGGATGGATGAGCAACGATGGCTGGAAAAGTAACTATGAAACGGGGCAATCTCGTCTCTCTGCGGGACAGTGGCAGGACAGCCAGGGAAGCGTGTACACTGCAACGAAAGCGTCGGGTGCAGTCTGTTACAGGTGGGTTTAAAGTCTGTTCTAATTAGATAATGTCTGAGCAAAAATTTGTAATAGTTACAGTAGCTATTTCAGAGATATCCCGCCCTCATGTCGAAACCTCATTACAAAGCCTGCGTTCGCTTCCGAACTATCTCACATATCAACTGCACAACCGACAAACAATGGGCTCAGCTCGGTAGTTCATTACGTAGGGCTATCCAGTGCAGGGGATCTACTTTATGCTAAGCAATGGTCAAAGAGCGATGGGACCAGCTACTTTACTCAACAAAAGCTTGGTGGAACATTAACATTCGTCGGAGAACCATTTGTAAGCCATTTTCACCAATGATGATACGAATATCACGTTATTGATACTTCGATTGTATTTCTAGATCACTCGTAAATCACATACAGAGTTCGACATTTGGGCTATTTCCAATACCACAAAATTATTCCACCGATCTTATATCGGTACTATGGACACCGGTACTTGGACAGAGGTAAGTTTTACGAAGATCCTATCATTTGAGATGCGCCTGACCATATATCTTGTCGTAGTGGGAGGATCTCGGTGAATACAACAGTCTCGCCAAGCCCGCGATAGCTTACGATGCAGCAAACAACACCCACATAATGACTCTTGATCCCAATAACGACAACAAATATAACTGTGAGGATTCATAATAAGTCTACTAAATCACTTATTAATATCTTACTAATTAAGAGATATCTTGATGACAAATATACATATAATCTGATCTTATATTATAAAACTATATTATTATATAGTTATATAATAGTATCTCTTATCAAATTGATTTATAATGGAATAGAATGAAATAGAATTAGTGTCACGGTGTGAGATCACGTGACATATTGGTCCCCTCGGAGGGGACCGAATTGGGCGCTCGCGCCGGAGCGCAAGTGAGCTAGGGCCCGATCGGGCTAGCTCGCTTAGCAAAATCCTGTATATCTTCAACTTGGAAGATCCTGTATCATAGCTCTTTGAGCTACGTCTTAATCCTCAATCTGAACCTATTACCCGAATCAGTATAACCTTGCCAGATTAGGGCAAAGTTATTAGAACCCTATCCCGCCCGCCTGCCCCGTGATAATTAGATGGAAGTTGTGACGACAACAGGTTCACGACATGATAGTAAATGAATCAATTATCGATACTAGAGAATAACAAATTATTGTATAAAGGGTGAACCTATAAAAGGCTTTTATAGATCCAAAGGGAACCAGAAGGGAACCAAGAGGAAACCAAAAGCGAAACAAGATTTGACCTGCCAGGTGAAGCAAATGGATAACTAATCTAAACCTAAGATCAGATCGTCACATCACCCCCCCTTTAAGAAACGATTTGCCCTCAAGTTTATTCTTATCCTTTCTTTTGTTTTTTTATTTCTAAAGATCTAGACTCCTTTTTTACCACCACTGTTTTCTCTACCTTCCTTATTGCCTTTTGCTTTCTTAAAGGTATAATCAGCAATTCATTCTTTTCTTCCTCGTTGTTATTGTTCTCCTTATTATCAGAAATATTAATTGAGGTGTTATATGCTCGTCGCAGGGAGTTTACCACAATTACACAAATTATTCGATTATGATACAGAATGTCGTTTATTATTTTTAAGGTGTACTATCCATCTTCCCTTTTTTTTTCTTTATCAAACCAGAAACTAATTATTTGATATAATTCATTATCTTGTTATTCATTACAAATGCTCTTGAACAGTATATATATATTATATTTTTATAATAAAAAGAGTTTATAAGAGAAACGGAAAAAAACAAAATGAGGAACTTTTTTTAAGAGGGCTTGTGTTCTCTTAATATTAGTAATAATAGGTTCTGGGAAGCAAACGCCACCTTACTAATGATTTTCGATTTTTCCAAATTGTTCGATGATTACTATATTTAATATATAATAAGCAGTAAGACCATCTGGGACAGCTTTTAGGAATCGGGTGAAGGCCATAGTTCCAATTATATTATCCTTTTATCTAATGCTACTTTGAACAAGCTGATCTAAGTATTTGCTTCTCTCATCCATAAGGCTATTTAGTCGCTTAATAGCAAGCTCAATGTTTTTCTGTAAACACTTACCACAAGTAACCATAGCCATGAAAATCGCATGCTTGGTTTGTAAGTCCTCCTTTGTTATATTCAGATATTTGTAAAGTTCCTCCTTCAACTTATAAGCCTATAATCTAGTAGCAAAGCTATCTAAACCGATACCAAGCTTTATAGCTTGTGTTTTGCTAAATTCGATTATTTCGGTTTACTAGAGCTTTAAGAGGTTTAAATGTAAGTCGATATATATGAGAATGTTGGTGAAATGAATAAAGTCGCTAGAGACAAGAGTAAAAGCAAATAAGTTTATAGGTAATAGAGTAGGTATTATAGCTTGTAATTGTTAGTCTAGTAGATTTTGCTTTTTGTAATCTGATATTAGATGCGAGCTAAAGGGTAAGGGGAATTGTAATAATATTGCCTAAGCTCGCTACTTAGGGGAGCGTATTGGAGAGCTAAAGACATTTTGTAAAGCTTAAAATATTACTAATATTTTTATTTCCGAATTGAATCGAAGAGTTGATTTGATTTAAATAAAGTTGATTTACAGAAATAAAGTGGAAAGCAAAATAAAAGTATAGAAAATTCAATAAAAAATAAATATAAAGTAAACGAATTCTTGTGATAATAGAAAAAGGTCTATGTATTAGATTACTTTTCTTAAGGTAAACTGGTTAGGTAAGACTGTTTTTTATTTATATCCATAGGGTTTTTACTTAATAGATTATTATAGTTGTTAATACCATTTTCCTAGTTCTTTATTCACTTTAATAAATTCTCAGGAGAACCTGTGGCATACAGGTATTGTGTATGGAATCTTCTAACTTTATAGGGTGCATATATCATATCTCTACAATAGTACCATATGGGATTGTTGTTATAGTCTACTCACCTTACCTTATAACAAACCTCTTTTCGAACAATCTTTGAGGCTAATATATCTTGGACCTCGAATTCAGTATCTATAGCGATTACAATTAGGAATAACAGATTGACTTTTTGACTAGGTACAGAATTATCTGATGCTTTTCGAAGTTTATCTGAAGAGAAGACTTTGTATATTTTTATATTGTTTAATAGATTAAGATAATAAAATAACCCTTCTTGGAAAGAATAATATAAGAACCAACTATCTACAGATCAAGCTTTTGATTAGATTTTTTAGTGATAAAGTTTTTTATAGTAATGAAAACTTTATCGCCAACCTTGAAATTAATAGTCTGTTTATGCTTATTGGTATCTTTTCTTTTCTTATTCTGAAACCTGAAGATGATTTTTTTAGCGATTTCCCAGGCTTTGTACATTTTGGAGGCAAAGTTTTGTACTTCTTTTTGAAAAAGATTCTTTTGGATGGTAGAAGCGGCAGGGGACCTATCCTAATCGAAAGAGGTGATAGGTCCATACCCGTTTTGAAGTTCAAATAGGGATATTCCTAGGCTTTTGTGTGGAAGAGTGAGTTGTGTATAGTTTATAATATACAAAAGCTCAAATCAGTTGTTCTGGTAGTAATTGACATAAGGATGCAGACGTTGATCTAAATATTGGTTTATGATTTCTGTTTGGCTATCCGTTTGAAAATAGTATATTATGGAAAGTTTTAGCTTAACACTCAAGATTCGGGTGAATTCTTTCTAAAAGAGAGATATGAATTGGGGGCCTTTATTGGAGGTTATAGTCTTTGGAGCACTCTTCCATCGATAGATATTGTTTAGATATATTATTGCTATATCTCTAGTATTAATAGTCTTATAGTATAATATAGAAATGGATTGTTTTGATAGTCTATCTACTATTATAAAGACATTATCGTAACCAAACTTATTAACAGGAAATATTTTGAAATCTATAGATATGTTTGCCCAGAGTCTTGAGGGTATAGGTAATGGCTGTAGGAATCCTGATATCTTATCTCTAGAAATATGGAAGTTGTAATAAATAATGTAATTGTTAATATACTAATCAATAAATTTCGATATACCTTTCCAGAAATATCTTTTCTGCAAGATCAACTTGATCTTAGTTTTTCCAGAATGTACTGAAGAGATTTGAATATAGGCTTCTTCTATAAGGCTGGTATATAAATAATCTATATCAAGGATAACAAGATGGTCTTTGTGTAAGATGAGATTGTTTCTTATAGAATATCCTTTTTTCAAGTATATTATTAAATTACATTCTGTTTATAGAAAAGGGTGATTTCAGTTGACTATCAGAATTCTATTTATCAAATCTATATCCTCAGTATTGAGAGCTAATAATTCTATTACCTCTTTTCCCTCTATACTAAATTTATTAATAATCCTTTTATCGAGAACTATATCTAATAGGAGAGTTTGAATACATTATTCTGAGCATTTAAACTCTTGATTTGCAATATTCTGTTCTCTACAATTTAAGGTGTTCGTAATAATATTACTAATTCCTAACCAATATATAATCTCAAACCAGAAATTCGATAGGGTTTCAGCCTATTTAGCTTACCTCTAATTCAAGATTCTTTTTATCATAAAATACTTTAATACTTTATGGTCGATATAGACTTTGATATAATAAGGCAAAGCGGTACACTCAATACACCATATCTTGAATACTTTCACAATAATAAATATCTTTTTGTTAAAGATAATGTAATTCATTTTTGCTGGAAGTATAGTCTTGATGAAGAAGATCACCAGGTACTATTGGTTATCTTCTTGGAACTGGGAGAGAACTCCACCAACCACTCCATTAGAGGTATTAGTTTCGATTATGGTCTGTTTTTTTGTGTAATAATATCTCAGAATAAGAGCATTCACCAGGTGTCTTTTCAATTCCTCAAAGCTAGTATTACAATTAGCATTCCATAAAAACTTGACATCTTTCTTAGTTAACTGGATAAAAGGTTTGACAATCCTATTAAAGTCTTAAATGAATCGATAGTAAAAATTGCAGAATCCAAGAAAGGACTGTACTCCTCGAACATTGATTAATAGCTTTCATTCCTTAATAACCTTAACCTTTTCAGAATCAACTTTTATACCGTTAGTATTAATAATGAAACCTAGGTATTTGGTTCTAGTAACTCCAAATTCACACTTATTTATATCAGCTTGAAGGCCAGCTTTCCGTAAGCAATCTAAAACTTGGATAATATATCGCTCATACTTTTCTTCATTCTCTAAGTAAATGAAGATATCGTCTAAGTAAACAGTATAAATAATATCGAGAAGATCAAACAAGACATCATTCATATATCTTTGATAAGTAACCAGACCATTAATCAAACCAAAAGATAAGACCTTACACTTGTATATGCCATACCGTATACGAAATGTAATAAGATCTTCTGAATCAGGATGCATTCGGATTCGATAAAAGGCTTAACGGATATTGAATTTGGTGAAAATCTTAGCTTTAAAAATACAAGCTAATGTTTTGTCAATAAGTGGTAGAGGGTATTTGTCTCTTTTGGTGATAGTGTTGAGATATCGATAATCTATATAGAATTGTAGTCCTCCAT